ATTCGGTAAGGATTAAGGTTAGGGTCATGGTTATTCTGTTAGGATTAGAGCTGCATTTCAGTTAGTGGATTTCACACTCCCAGTTATTCCAAGGTGTGGGAGACTTCAAGAATGGGAGACTCAGAAATAAAGGAGATTCCAAAGAAGGGGAGACACCAAGAAAGGGACTTCAAAAACAGGAAGGCTCCCTTATCTGTATTTACACCCCATAGCAGGGCTCCCTCTGCATATTTTTAAGTTTGAGCTAAGACTTGAGCCTCTAAGTTATTTTATAGCCACTAATAAAAACTATAGCCACTGTTCACGTTATCATATATGTGCTAAGCAAGTCATACACAGGTGATGGGTACGAGAAAAGAGATGTACGAAAACATTTTATGACACGACACTGCAATTTGACGATTTCGTTAGTCAATCATAATTTTCTGAGCAGTTAAACCATTCGCCAATTGTATTCGTCGCTGAGTGTCATAAAATCGTCACTGTAAACATTGAAATAGGAGTTCACGTAGAAATGATGAAGTAGAAGAATCCAAACTTGTTGTAGTAAACTGAATAATCTTTAATAACTCATACAGTGTAGACACATCGCACAAAGAGACAAAGAACGCGCACACGCACATACGCGCGTGTGGGTCCTTTCGTGACCAGAACCAGAATCCCCCTACTCTTACATCCAGGGCGTCAAGTTCCTATTTTTTCCTATTTTCTGGACAAATTCCTATTTTTTCCTATTTTTGAGGGCTTTTCATTTTTCTAAATCCAGAATTGTATGTATCCTTCCCAGAATGCAGGAATTTACATTTCAGGTGACCCAATTTTCAAAAATTTCCTTGGGGAGGACCCCCATACCCCCACCCCTTACTTTAAATTAACGTAATATACTCTTTACTATCACCGATTTTATTTCAGTAAAGTTGTTTCTCAGTTGGATGTGGTATGTTATACATGTACGTCATAAATTTGTAAACATAATTAAAGGGAGTACATGCATATGCAACTACCTATGTACTTTAAATTTAAATACCATATTTCATGCATGTTATTTGTGTCGATACGGGGTATGTTTTTGTGATAACAATTGTGATTTTTATACATATTAAAAAGCTGCGTTACAACTAAGGTATTTGTAATTAGCGCCTGAGAATCTTGATCTGAGCTGATGTGCTTAGTATCTAAACTTAGGTGCTTAGATTTGTTCTACCATGAAAACAGACACTTAGCAACGGCAAAGCAGTCATCAAGGGCTATGGGAAAGTACATTCTTGCAGTTGTGACGCAATGAAGATCTAAATAATATTCAAGCTGGTATAGTAAATTTTTTATTACCAGACAGTCTTATTGTAGTGGAAGGTAAGTTTGACACAAACGTTGTTGACCTCGACCATGTAGATCACGTACAATATAGGATAGGAAGGGGTTTTGATCCAAATGAATCCATCTAATACTAACCCTTTCTGCCTGCTTTCTTTATGCTTTCTGCCTGCTTTCTGCTTTGTAGTGCTTTCTATGTATAACATAGTGCTGTCTTTGCAGATTAGCTATGCTGGTGGTGGTGCTTTGCTGTTGAAATGCCTGCTGGACCTACAAAATTCAGTGTTGCATGGTTTTCTCACATTGATGCTAATGCTCAAACGTTGGGCGAGTGGTGCAGGAACGGCAAGGACGAATTTCACGGCTATTGCCGATTTTGTGATGCCCAGATCAAGTGTGATAATGCTGGTAAGCAACAACTGTTGCAGCATGCCAAGAAAGACGAGCATAAGCAAGCTATAAAGTATCTTCAGGACAATAAACAATGCAAGTTTTTCTTTCCTGCCACATCCAGTTCCTGCAGTACCAGCAACAGTACCAGTTCAACTCCAAAACTTGAGACCATCAACGATAATGATGCCTCTCTTGTGGCAGAAGTCTACTGGCTGGCAAAGATGGCCTATTGCAACTTTAGCATGCGTTCAGCTGATCACATCGGAGGCATATTTCAAACAATGTTCCCTGACAGCAAAATAGCAGCTAACTTCAGCTTGAGTCGAACAAGTTCATCGTACATGATTGGCGAAGGACTGGCTCCATACTTCAAGAACATTATAGTGGAGGACTTGGTGAAATCAGATCTGCCGTTTTGCATGCATTTCGATGAAACCAGCACAGCACAAGTCAAGAAACAAATGGATCTTACTCTGCGATACTGGTCACCCACTCACAACAAGGTATGGGTCGCCTTCTACACATCACACTTTTTTGGACATGCCGAGGGAGACAGGGTAGCATCAAAGATGTTTG